CTGGCCTCTAGCCAGGGCCAACCCACCACAAACACACAGCAGCCCTGCTCTCACCTCCCCTGCCCTCTGTAGTGTCTAAGCTCCCTGAAGTTTTTGAAGTCAGTTCTGGTCAAACAAGATAGTTCATCAGCTTTCACAGCAAGAATCTAACCTTCTGTTAAAGACTTACACTTAAAAAAAAAAAAAAAAAGTCAGTTATTTTCAGCTTAAGAAAATAAATATTTTCCCCTTGATTTTTGGAAATGTCTCTTGTTTTTCCTCCTGCTTAGTGACTTAGACAAAGATAAGTGAAATCCTGCTGGTTAGTCAATCTGTGTGGGAAAGCCTTGGGCATTTTGTGGTGGGAAACACAACTTTTAAAACTTTATAATTTTTTTTTTTTTTTTTTTTGCATTCTCGGCATGTAAGACCAAACGAATGGATATGATTAAGCTTTAAGCAGGACACTTCTCCTAAAGCTGTGCCTCACATGTTCACAGAACAATCCACAGATCTTATTTGTTGTTTATTCTGGGACAGGTTGTGGATAAGAGTCATAATAAAACAGAATTAAACATTCAGTGTAGAGTATACAGTGCTACAGGCAGAACTTTGCTGTTGACTGTGCCAAACTATCAAGTCAGCACACAACTCATTCCAGGGGAACAGGCAATAAGCAACACGTCTACCTCTGTAGAGCGGTGGTGAAGCTGTGCTCTGCCACGTGGCATTGCTTTTAAATGGTTTTCTAGATATTGCATTCCCTGTTTGCAACAATTCTGAAAAATGTACCTTCGAGGACACAGAAGAGGCTGCCTAGCTGTGGGGAAGAGCACAGCTTCTTCCCCATCAGGTATTGCTGCCAGCTGGGCTGAAGCACACACTCAGAGCTTTGCTGAATACGAACAGTTTGATAGTCAAGCACTTGGCTATACTTGGTCTTGTAGCTTTGTGATTTATGTGGGAGAGCTTGAAAGGCCTCACCTCTCCTAAGCATGTCAGGACATAGCCGGCAGGAGCTCAGATAATCTTTGCCTTGCTTGTTGCAAGGGCCAAAGTTTTTAAAGATGCATCAATGATTCATGTCAACCCAAAACACCTGCAAAGGGCCTTGAGGAAAACCAGGAGCTGGTTTATACAAATACCTGTTTTCCATGCACACAGTCTGCCAACAAGGAGAGTAAACCCTGTCTGAATACTGGGGTCAGAGCTCTTTGTGGCATGACCTGTCTCCTTCTGCAAGTTTGGGGCTGTGGTTATTAGCCCGTGCTGATGTTCCTACAAATACCTCACCTGCTCTTAAGTCAGCAGTCACTGCCTATCTCACATCATGGTGATTTGCCTCCCAGTCATGCAGAAACCAGTTTCAAGCACAGTGCACTGGGCACTGGCCAGGCTCAGACCCATCCACACACAGGGAGCATGGCTGTGTGTGGATAAATGCACCATGGGAGCAGAGATTTTCCCCATGGATTTTGTCTCATCTTTGATAAGTAATTTATCAACAGTTCTATTTTTGGCTCAGAGTTGTTTGAAGAGGGAAAGCATACCAGACCCGTGAGTCTGACCTCCTCTGTTAAACACGAATCTGTTTGTTTCCAAACAGAGATATTTATAAGCTGACTTTTGAGAGCATTACCACGGGGAACTCCTTTTCCCTCCCCCTTATTTAACACAGCCCACAGACTGGTGCAGCGAGCATCAACCTTTCTAACCCCAGATACATTACATTTTCACTCTGATCCGGGGAACTGGTTGCCCCCTCTGAGTTCAGGGATCCTTTCGAGTCCTCTCGCTTTATTGCATGGCCATTGGGAAGTGCTGCTCCACAGGCTGGGAAAAAAAATTAAAAATAAAAATAAAACACCACAATTAAGTCCTTTTGCACTGGCACTCCTCAGCACATCACGGACAGGGAGTGGAGGATGTGATTTGGACAGCAGAGAGAGGGGTTTGCCAAAGCCCCGTGTCAAAAGCTGATTAATCTGGAACGGGCAATTGGGGTGACACCACATCCAAGGAAATGCATACGAGCCCTGAGAGGCCCTTTGCAGATGGATATTTTAGGTTTTAGATAATGGGTTTTGGCTTTTTGGGAGTGGTAATAGTTACATTCAAAATAAATGAGAAAGTTAAAGTTTAGAAAAATGAATTTACCTGGATCTTTGTCGGCAATCAGGCTGGATCTATTTGATGGGGATGCAAAACTGCACACGAATTCATCCCTGGATGCCTATAAAGCAATGGGAGTTTTTTGTGACCAATGGAAGACAACACCTATTCTCTTATATAAGAGAATAATGAGATAAAGCAAATTAGAGCAGCTTTTAAAGTGCAGATGAAAATACATTTATTTCCTTACTTCCATAACAAGGAGACAAATGTCTTTGGGAGGAGTACAAGGAATAACAGAACATATTAATGTAAGTCATGGCAGTTTTTTCCCTTTTCTTTTTCATAATTTGAGTTGAAATTTTGAATTGTTTTTTTCAAATGTCCTTTTGCTGTTGTTGTTTTGTCCTGAACAAGGAGGAAAGTCTAGTTCACCTGGGAACCACACACAACCTTCAGGCAGATGGGCAACTCCCCAGAATAGCTACTGGAGTCTGAGGCTGAGTCCTGTTGCAACTCATTGCACTTGGAGGGACTTACCTCACAACACTACATACATTGTAAATAAACACATTAAATGATAGTATGAAAAAGGGCAGAGATTGTACCCAGCACTACAGACAGAACAAAATCACAGGGAAGGACAAATTAAAACAAATAAGCACGTTATGGGGCGGTGGGGAGAAGAAAAACACATGTATTTCTAAAGCTGAGCCTGGCTGCAGGCAGTGGAAGTCACACAAGGGGTATGTGGGCAGAAGAGGACCGAGGAGGAGGGCAAAGAGGCATCACTGGGCTTTACTCACGGGGCTGGAGGCGGCTGCACAGGAGTAGAGTGCCTCGCGGCTGGCCACGCGCTGGAGGTTCTCCAGGAGCAGCCCAAAGAGAGGCAGGTAAAGCTGGGCTATTTTTGCCTGCTGATTCTGAGAAAAGACAGGGATAAAAATGTAAGTAAGCACTCAAGCTTTCAACGGAGCAAAAAAGGGAAACTCTTGAGCCAAACCACACACACACATATACATACATACATATATATATATATATATATACACACACAATGTATATGGTGTCTGAGGATATGGGTTGATTTGGCTTCTCATCTCCACTTCCAGTGCTGCCAGGAAGGTATTACCCTTCCAGCAGTGAGCTTAGGGCACACTCAGGAATTTTGGAGACTGAGTAACATTCCCAGTCATACAGGATGTGTGACAAATGAAATCCTGGATTTCCTAACTCTTTAACTGGCACTTCACTCACATGGGTTGATTTTCAAGTGCTTTTCAACACCTAGGAGTAATGAAACAAAAACATATACTCCTCGCCTGGTGCTGGCTATTGTTTCCAGTCAGGAATTCTCCATAGCAAATGCTTCTAGTTAAAACAGTTTGCAGAAACAGATTAATTTAGATTAATTGATACAGATCAAAAATGGTCCGGTTGACATTTTCTAACTGCAAGGCTGTCTTGGATCCAATTCTTTTTTGTTACAAATTTATTATTCTGTACCTGACAGAAAAGTAAAAAAAAAAAAAAAAAAAAAAAAAAAAAAAAAAAAAAGACTTGTGAACTGAATGTCACATTTTGACCAACACAAGAATCCCATTTTTTTTTCTAATTCAGTATGACAAAAGGTAAAATAAATCTTGAAAACACCCAGGAGTTAAGAAAACCCTCACTCAGCCATTGATTTAGCTGGGGTTTCCCTGGTTGGAGCAGGACTGCAGCAGACCCTGCCATGCTCAGCCTGTCCTGCCTGTGACATGATATTTCGCGACCATGTCGGGACACCAGCTGAACAACCTGTCCTGACTCCAGGCAGCTTCCTGGTCATGCAGCCCAGAGCAAAACATATGTACAAAAACCTAGTGAGATAATGTTAAGACAAGTGGTGTTTTTGAGGAGGCAGAAAGCTCCTGAATTTGTGTCCGGATTTTCAGGCACCCAGAAGAGCAGAGGCAGGCTGCCTCTGACCCAGCGTTGACAGAGAGCTGGCAAATCTACCCTGAAATATCAAGTCTGGCCAACTACTGTGGGCTGCAGTTTTGTTTCCAGGCTGTGCACATCACCACAGATCCTCACTGCAGAGGACAGCAAACCCACCTCCAGCTCAGCCCTTCAGAACAGGCAGAGAAGGGAGAGGAGCTGGCTCTGTGTCCATGCAGAATGCAGGAGCCCAGGCACGTTTGGGTCACTTCTCCCATCCTTCATGTCTAGGAGGCTATCCACGTTCCCAGATAAAATTCAGAAATGCAGCACACTAGCAGCAAACTGAGGAGCTAAACTAAACAGAGGCAGGTTTGCAGCCTGGAGCAAGGACAGGTAGTGTCTGCATAGGTAGCTGGGCACTTCTAAGGAAATATGGGTGAGCAGGGAACAGCATCAGGAAAGAAAGCAAGCCCATCTCCAGGGTGTTTCAGCAATACCACACTCTGAGCCTCTGGCCAAAGGAAGACGAAAGCTACACAGCCAAAATCCAGCATCTCATGAGAATCCACAGATCCTCTCCTCTGATTCACTAATTAGTAAAACATGCAGCTGATTGTAACAGAGATCAGTCCTGTTTCCTAATTATGGTGTATTAATGCAGGATATTAATTTTAACCCAAGACCAGAAGAACACTGATGTTGCTTAATTTTGTTGAACAGCCTCTCGGCTAATGACACTCCCAAATTCCTTAATGGCTCAGGGCTTTATTATCTCAACTCTCAGTATGAATAAGAGCACTGCAGCTATCTCACTGCATTGCTTGTGTTCCTAGATCATTTCCCAGGGCTATTACTGTAATACCATAACTATCAGTTACTTACAACAGTACCCTAAAAAGTAAAGAGAACACCTTTAGCGCACCATGCAAAATCTAAAACTCTGACGTGTTTTTTCATAAAATTCAAGAACATTACGTTTAAAAGCCAACAAAATATGCCTGACCTTGTGCTGGTATCTGTTGTCGAAGGCATGCTTTATCAAGAGATTTTTTAAGACTGAGATGGCTGTATATCTGATATCGTAGTTGTCCTGCAAGGCAACAGAGGCTTCTCTGAGAAGCATCCCCACCAGGAAATGATGCCTGCAATACTCGTCAGTTAAACTGTATTCAAGATTTACATCTGAAAGAAACAGCAAGGTGATGGTTAAGGGATCTGTTGGAAGATCTGTTCAGAGCAAGACATAACGGTCATGAAAAGCCAAAAGCACTCGGTGAGTAGGGTTCATCACTCTCTCTCCCACAGTGCACTGATCTCTTAATAAAGCCTGAACTGACTGAGTTAAGTCATATCAAAGAACTTGGCATCTTCCAGTTCAGGCTAATCATTAGTTTCAGCCCTCACCAGCAGCAGTTCAAAGAATTTCTGCAGTGTGATGCTTTGCAAAGCTTAGCGCCCCAAAGACTAATTTGTAAAGTCAGAGATGGATGAAATGGTGAACGACAGGACAACTTACTGCCTGGGGTCTGCTTGCTTTGCTCCTGACTGGGGGTTGTCCTGTAAATCACCAAACTACCCCAGCAGCAGAGGTGCCATCCTCCATGGAGCAGCTATGAGGGTGGTAACGGGCAGCAGAAACGGTACATTTATCATGGTAACCCAGCCATCTCTGGAGCTTGTTCCACATCTTCTGTGAAATCTGCATTCTTTCTCACCAGGTCAGAGAGCAAAGGCAAATACTCATGCTGGGATAATGGATGCAAATAAGGACATGGTGCCAAGTGACCGCTACTGCATCCTCCAGCAGTTTACACAACTGGGCTTTCCAATCCCACTGCAAGGACCAGGGAGCCAGGGCAGAGCTCCAGGCAGCTGCCTGCTGGAAGCTGAGAGATCCCCTTAGCTTCCCACCAGCAGATATTGAACACAGCCCTTAAAAGCTGCACTGACCACCAGGAGAAAGGCAGATCAGTACCTAATCACCTGGGTTAATTTAACTCGTACCCTGCATCTCATATAGATTCAGGCTACAGGCCGTGATCAAAGGAGTAGCTGCTATAAGGGTAAGGCACCATTTTCACTCACTTGCCTGGACAGCAGAGAAGCGACAGAGACAGAGATTTCAGTGCAGGATGCTATGACCTTGCCCTGACACCGTTATCTCTGTCAGGCAACCCATATGTCTAATCAGAGCCACAACAGGCACCGTTTGACTGTTGCATTTTGGCACTGAGCCTCCCAGAAGGATAACCCCAGAGTTGTGTGTTCTTCCCCCAAAGGGTAAAAATGCTGTGTGCTCAGCTCAGACTTGTTTTTTTCTTTAAAACAAAACAAAAAAATCCCATGGGTGTGAAAGTTTTTCTGTGGTAAGGCAAGGTGCATACACACAGCTTTGAAAATCCCAGCCAAAGGGCTCCAACAGGTCTGTGGCTGCAGAAGATATTTTTGAGTTCATTGATTCATAAGTAGCATTTACTGGTTTGTGAAAGTCTGATTCAGAGGAAAGAGAAAGCAATCTGGAGCATTATCTAGCTTTCATTGTTAGTCATGTTAGCAAATGCCCAAGTGTCACACATCATGGTTATTTCATTAGTTGGATGCAAGCTAATTGATTGGAAGCTGTGTATTTAATTTGACATTAGAGGATTCAGTGATCCCAGTTGGACATACCTACTGAAGTGAACCGTTCCACAGCAAATGAAAAAAAATCTAATTGACGTGTAAAAAGAAAAGGGACAAATAAAAAGACAGCAAAAATAAACAGGAATAAATAATACTCTAAATCTTGGAGAAATGGGACATGTTTTAATATTATCTGTAAGGCTATTGCTTAACTCCCAGTTTCTGTCAATCTCTTGAGGTTCTTTGCTATCATAAGATTGCAAAAACAATGCTGTGCCGCTGGTTGTGAGGACAGGCTCGCGGGTTCGCTCTGGCTGATGAAACACACGTGTCCTCCAGGCAAGGCAGCTGGGACACAGACCAGCAACCAGCCTTATGTGTTGAGACATTTCAGAGAAACTGCTCCAAGATGCAACACTCCAACTCAACAGGATGTGGTCGCAGGGATGTGCTCTGCCTGCAGGCCTGTCTGTGCCAGCTTCTGCTGCACAAGCCCTCTTTATCCACCTTCCTGGGAGCTATTTCTTCTTTTCCCGGAAACAGAGCAGTAGGAAGCTGGGCATGTCCCCTCTATTTATGCAAATAAGCTGATAAAGCCTGCTGGCATGCCTCACCTCTATGTCCTCAGTGACACGCACATCATACCTCCCCATCTCTGAGACCGCTGACCCCTGTAATCACAGGTTTGTCCATAAAACCACACAAGTTTGCAATGGAGATGCATCACTACATGTCTCTCGGCACCACTGCAAAGGCACTTCTGCTACCTGAGGATATGCTGCTCTGCTGTCAAGAGATGTGCACAAATGGCAATTGCTGCCACTATTTTAAAATATATATAATTAAAATAAAACCTCAGCTGGTAGGTCCTAGTCACAGTAAAACAGAGGAGGAAAGGTGAGCTGCTCTTACAGCTTTCCAGTTTAACCATCGCAAATGCAAAGGTGAACGTTAACCAAGGAAGAGCATCCTTATGTTATCATGCCACTAATAAGCAACAGGGAGGCACTGTGGTTGCATTTTTCTTTCTCAGCCATTTCTAGTGGTGCACTTCATTAAACTATGACAGGCAAGCAGCCAGGCTGATGTAAGTGTAAGAAATTAGCAGCTGGTTCAGAAAGCTCTGAGCAGTAAGAAATATATCAAAATAAGGGAAACATCACAGTTACTGCTGCTTCTGCCACCTAGATGTGTGTGGAAGCACTTTGGGACTTGTATGGCTGCACCCTGAGGCACAACCAAATACCCTCTTGCCTCCATCAGAATAAACCACAGAATCATAAATCCACTGGGCATTCACATGGGGGAATCCCAAACGTCACTCTCCTCTTTAGTACTTAACCTAGACAGGCTATTAGCACCCAAACCTGGCAATCTTTACCATATTTATCGAGCACAGATGAGAAACCAGGACGCAGAGAGAATGAGGCTATGACTGTAACAACCTTTGGAGACCGGTGAGGCACACTGCTGGGCTCAGCGCTGTGGTCCGTGCTGTGATCGGTGGCAGAGCTGCAGCCATCCACACTTGCACAGTGCCTCAGCTCAGCCCCTGGCAAACCCCATCTGCCCTGTGGCGAGCAGCACCAGGACCAAAGGGGACATGGTGTGACAGTGAGAGCAGCCTGGGTATGTTGTGGTGTCACAGTACGTGTGCCCTTCGTATGTGCTAAGGACTGGCATGGGCTCACATTCTCTGCTTCCAGCCCAGGTTTGAGTGCAAGCTTGAATGCACTGTGCACTGCTCTACTGTTGTTCCAAACGAAAGCAGAAGGTAACCTAGATCACCTTCTTGTGGCCACAAAGAGAGCTGGCAGTGGAGCAGTGAATGCAATCTGTTCTCCTGTATCTCCATTCTCTACAGCACTGATTGATGAGACATCCTGCTTCTCAGGGGATGCCGACACTTGAGGGAACAAAGGATTACACATGCACAATTTGTGCATTTATTGAAATAGGGGCAGTTTCTTTCTGATATTGTTAGTCCCATGTAAATTTAAATATTGGAAATACTGAAGACCGGTGCATAACATTCGGGAACGACATGATGTAAACCTGTCAGAACAGAAACTTTTCCTGAGGTTAATATAATAAAATCAGGCTAACCAGGAGATAAATTTCCTTGACATCAAACCAATTCCATCTGTTCAGAAGCCATCAAGACTAATAAATTATAGCTCTCTAGCCAGTCTCTTGAGACATTTCATACCTTGAACTCTTTGCAGTTTGGGTTTGGAAAAGGTCATTGGTAAGTTCAGAGGAATGTAGTGCTCGTGATTGCAAATGGTTTGAAGAAATTCAAACTTGTATTCAACCAGCAGCTAAGGAAAAAAAAAGAAAGACAAGCGCAAACTATGTTTTCAGTTTGACTCACTTGTTTCCAGTTCAATATGTTTGTTGCACAAGGATTGGGGAATCTAAATAGCATCTGGTGAAACTCAGTAATAATTGGCAAATTTTTGTGTTGTTCCCACTAAGTGTCAGTGCATGCAGATGTCACTTGGGACTTCTTTTATCTTTTTTATCCAAACTATTAGCCAATATCTCCTTTAGTTCCGACTCTTTACATTGTTTTAAAGCTTAGCTGCATACAGGTTCTTGGCCCAAAGAGGTCTCTGCCTCCAGACGACTGCAGGAACAGTGTCTAAAAGGCCTCCAAGAGTCATACAAAATAATCACTACAGAGCTTTGACTGATGTAGATATGTACTACTGCAAACCAGCTTTCAAGAAACATACTGCTTACCTTAGGGTCTTTTGGGCTGAATCCAGAAATGTAATCATTTATCAAGTTAAAAACAAATCCTCTGTCCATAAAGGTCAAACAACGCTAGAGAAAAAATAGCAACATGTGAGCAATCATTAAAAATAAAAGCAATCATCCTAAATCACCCCCACACTACTGTCCTGCCAGCAGCTGGATTTGATCCTCTGGGCTGCTGCTGACTTTACAAAATGTACTTGATCCCATTTCTCTGAAATTATTTGGATGACCTCACTTAAGTCTCCGGTGGACAACAGAAGTATTTAAATTGAGAGCACACATATTTCCTCTCTGGTTTTGAACAGTTGCTAGGCATGACTGAAAACCCTAGATAACATATAGAGTACCAACACAGAGAGTATCATCTCTTGGAAAGATGAAGTTTCTCTCCTAGGAAAGCTTGTCCCTTACAGAGTTTTCATCATTGAAGAAACCAAAGAGATGATAAAGTACAAACACATTTGTTTGGTTGCTGCTTATTTCTATTTTTTTGTTGTAGTTGTCTTGTTGGGGTTTTGTTGGTTTTGTTTGTTTGTTTTCCTGATAAAAGCCTGGGAAAAGGAAAGAAAGTGCTGACCTTCAGGAAGTTAGCCAAGCTAAAGTTGACATTCCTGGATTCTTCAGGGATTTCGTTATAGCGAATGGTGACGTGAGGAATGATGGCGAGCAGCAATGAATGCAGGGCGTGCTGGTAGGAGTCGGGGAACCGCTGGCCTCTGGGCAGCTGAAACCAAAAACACATCGTACGCTCAGTGCTGCAAGTGAGCAGCTGGGGAAAACCAGCACTGGCACAAGTTCCCTTTAGTGTTTTTTTATGTTGCTTCCTAATAAAACACTGGCACAAAGAAAGGACTGGCTGAAACTGCAGCAGCTGGTAACAGCAAAGGAGGGCACGAGCTATAAGGAAATCTGGAAATTTTAAGTTGCAATTGAGAGTGAAAAGGGGAAGAAGGGAAAAGTGTGGAAAAAAAAGGAAAGATCTGGCTAGCTGTTCAACTTGTCAGGGTTTTTAAAAATAAAGAGTTACAGAAAACTTTTGGAGGAGAGTTTGTGATGGCTCTGTAATGCAGCATCGAATAAATTTATTTTTACCTTGATTTTGTTTTCTTCCAGTAAGTACATTGCCATTGACTTCGCCAGTGCTTCAAAGAAAAACCACGAGTACTAGAATGAACAAAGAATACTACTGTTTTTTCTCAGCAGGATTGAACATGTTTGGCCATGTGGGGAAGCAGTAGCGTGGGAGGGAGAGCTCACATTCAAATGTCATTTTGTAAGCACAGCAGTGCTTGCACAGCTAGCTTGGCACAGGTGCCTTTGCTACCTGGAGAAGCCCTGCCAGTCTTGGGGCAGGAATGGCTCCATCCCCTCTGCACCCCAGTGCACCCTGCAAGGAGCCAGCAGAGTTTGGGGTGCAAGCCCTGCAAAGGCTCAGAGAGGCAGAAACTCAGTCATGAGCCACCCCTCGTGTGTAGCTTGAAGAAAATAGATAAAGCTGGCAAAATGAAAAGCCCTTCGCTGTGTCTTGCCAGGAGCCTTAGCACAGCCAGGTTTCCTGCAAGAATTCATTTCTGTTGTACGGGGAGAACCTCAAGGACATGGGTGTGAGGAGCTGCCCTGGTAGCTTTGCTCCTGCAGTGAATTTGGATGGGTGGAAACGTTGGGCTTTATACCAGACCCCCTTTTCCTCCCTTCCACCTTTGGCAGCCAAGTACTGCCAATACTTTACCTTGAGTAGCTTATTGATGGCTAGAAAATCTGCTGACTGCTTCAAGATCGTGGCCATGGAAAGGACCAGGATTTCATGGGTCATCTTCGCCTGTGTGACACTGGGTTTCTCAGCTCGAAAGACATACTGAGGCAAGAGGAACAGAGTCAGTAGTGTGCCTGCTCCCAGCAGGGAGTTTTGCACAGCAGTGTGTCATGACTGACCTTTATGAAGGAGCGCAAGTAGTGGTCTAGACCTTCTTCATGGCACTTGGACACAATGTGCAGAAGAACCCTGGGGAGAAACGTGGTTTGTGTTCAGCACGCAATGTGAGGGCAAGTTCCTCCAGCTCACGAAAGGAGACACCACCTGTGTCCCCCCCTGCTCAACCCCAAAAGCCTCACCCCTGGCACAGCCTGATTTGCAGAGAGCCAACACTTGCAGACTAGCATCCTTCACAGCTCCTGTGGCTGCACAGCCCTTTTGCAGAGCACTCAGAGCTGAGGTGGCCAAAGCCACCTCTTCATCTTGGTGCTGGACCAACTGTTGCCCAGATCAGCTGCTTCCAATGCTCAAGGCTCCCCGCACAAGGGGATGAGGTGGAGCATTTCTCTGCTGGGGACATATCCTATTCTTCAGCCTCTGTGCATGCCAGGATTAAAGCCTGCTGCTACTTAAACTCATGTTGCCATGAGCACTAGGCACCTGAACAAAGCTCAGGTGTTAGGTAAGGTAAAAACAGAAATACTAAGTTAATCTGCTCTGCACACAGTTCTCTGACTGTATCTATGGACCTGATACACGGGGAGCAAGTCCACTTGTCCCTCTTGCACACGCTACAGATTCATCCACACTGCACAGCTTATCATGTATTGAGTCTGTCCTCACTGGAAGCCCTTTCCTAATGTTAATACAAGTGACAATGAACAACGATAATACCACATCAAGTCTGCAAAATGAACACAAAAACCCCACAGAATCTCTGCTGAGTAGTGGTCAAAAAATTCTCCATCATTATACTCTGATATCTTCCTGCAGCCCTTGAATTTATTAGTTCTGTAATTTTTTTATTTTTTTTTTTACTGAATTTACATTATATGGTCCTTGTTACATGCACTGGATTATTTTTGGGCTGTTGCCTTGCAGTTCACTGGGGACAGGCAGACCCTGGAGAACATGCCAGCCCCCTGGAAGGACTCCTGGAGGCTGATGAAGGCAGCAAGCGCCTGGTTTCCCCAGCCAACATTGGGGATTTACATTCCAGTCCCAGCCAAAGGGAACAACAAACTATTGCACATTGTCACAGACCCCACAGGCCAAACCACAGGGAGGAGTTTACAAGCTATTTATCAGATAAAGTAGGTTTTAAATTCTGCTCTGAAAGTCTGGATGAGAAAACAGTTGTCATTAAACAGAAAGCTATCAACAAACTGGAAAGCGTCAAGCCAAGCTTTGGAAAAAAATCTCTGGAAGTGAAGGTGGGAGCTGCTCGCCCAGCAGGTAGCGGGGTCACTTGTTCCCTGTCCTTGCTCTCCGGTGATTCAAGCAGCAGGATTACAGTGCTCCAGACAGGAGAAGTCCTCTAACCTCCAGTTTCATGGGAGCAAGATGCTTTTGGTACATGGATGTGTGGTACCTCCTAGGGCTGGAGAAATATCTCCATGGAGTGGCATCCAGCATCCCACTTTGCACTTCACAAGGAAATAACCACAGGAGGAAGATGGATGTTTTAATGCATCTATCAGATGAGGTGTGTCATGACCAGAGTTGGGCAGGAAATGTGGTTTTGCACCTTTTGTTCCCTCCAGACCCTGCACACACCCGCGCTCAGCAGCAATGTCCTGCGGGGCCCAGCCCTGGCCGGTGCTGCCCTCATGGGGCTGCAGGCCTGGCCAAGCATCACTGTCCAAACCACGGCTGGCTTCTGGCTCCAGATTCTGAGCCAAGTCCTTCTGCAACATAACACATCCAGCTCCAAGGGATTTTTAGCAATCCCTCTCACAGAGGGGACTGGGGTGCAGGGATGAGACTG